TCCGATTCGATTATTATTTAATCATTCAAATTATAGAGGTTTCATATTATATATATCATGGTTCACAGACCAAAACAAATAAAATTTCATTGATTAGAGTCTATTAATAAGAAACAACGACATGTATGTAAAATAGCGAAACAAATAATTTCTACTAGTTGTATTCTAATAAAACTACTAGTTCAATTGTTGGTTGTTATTATTTCATATTTAATAAATTCCCATTTCTCGAAGGAAACAGGAGTGGACCGAACTCGACGGCACTGCAGTGTCGAGACGATCCATGGCACGGATCCGAGTGAACTCGGTTGATTCCGACCGATTTCCGAAAATTCGCTTGAAAGAGCCTGGCCCCAATGGGACCAGCGCCGGCTTTCAAACCGACGAAAACAGATACTACACTTTGATCTTAGCCGAAAAGGCCGAGAAGCGATAACTATTCTAATTACAATGAAGTCTTAACATTGATCTTATCTTTACACATACTTCAGCGCACAGAACGAGAAAAAAACTTATGTGTAAAGATAAAGAAGATGTTGAGCTCTACATAATGATAAGGAAAGTTGCTTATTACAACTTACCAAGAGGTAAATGATCAAATCTGATCAAATACATGTTGCAATGACGAAAATGTGCGGATTAGTAGAAATACTAGTTTGCCAGAGCAACATCTCTCAAATGCATATACATGAAAACTGAAAGGGATTCCATGAGCTTGTTGTATTTGTGAGCGTTCATAGCTTTTTTCTATAGGTTTCTAGAGTTGTTCAATGACTGAGTTCGTAGTGAGTATATTTATTTTGAGGTTCAGAAAAATTTTGTTTTCTTAACTTTTACTTGTAGATTAGAGAAGTTGTTGATAGTAGCATTACTTGAAGGAATTTTTGTTGATCTAGTTTTATTGAGAATAATAGATTATATCTGTAGTTTAATAATCTTAAATGAATTCATTTGAATAACTATAAATGTAACATTGTTTTTTGGTTGCTAATGAAGACTAAGTTGTTGTTGTTGTGTTTCTCACATAAATTTAGGTAGAAGTATTTGATGAACAAAAAAATGGATTTTTCATAAGTTTTTCAAAGAAATATATTTGAACAAGACAAAAGTAAGATTATTTTATTATCAGATTTTTCATAGTAATCTTTGTAAAATAAATATATACGAAAATTCTTTGGATTCATAATAAATAAAAGTAAACATCAATATTAGTCATTTTTGAGAACTAATTATTTCTGTAAGAACTAGTTTTGTGTGTATTCCATCTGTTCTTTTATTACTATTATAACTGTTTTCATCTTTTTGAACGTTGTACACATAAAAGCAAAATAAGCAAAGACATGAATCTGACAGAAAAAAAATTTTTGTTCTTTTTGACTACAACCTATAGAGATACATGTTTGGATAAAGAGAAAGAAAAAATTCAATAACTGAAATATACATTCATCTAAGAAAGTCTAGAAAGGCCATTTTTTTCTACTAACTTTTTGATAGATTTCCAACTTATGAGTATTTCGTACAGAACATGATTTATCAAAAGATATTTTACATTCTAGTAGCATTTTAAATTCTCTAGCATAGTAGTTTGTGTACTAATTAGATGCTGCTCTGTAGTTGTTCGAAAGTAATTTTATTTAGCGTTTCTTTCGTCTTTTATTACCAGGGTTCAGCATTGTTGGGCATGTAAATCGATATGAAAAAGTACCATGATTTATGTACTATTCTGAAATGAAGATTAGCTTTAACTTTGAGGTTTTTTTTTATAACAACAGACGCTTATATTATGTCTTGATATCGGTCGATGACAAAGGATGATTTGGTGTACGAATCTTTGTTAACTAAATAATAAAAATATCGTCTGAAAAAGTCGTAAAACAAAAAGTTCTTTATTTGTTTAAATTTTCTGAATTGATTTTTAGCTTTTTTTTGCATTGAAATGCATTAGCAGAGTCGACCCAGATATTTTTATTTATAACACAGTTTTTGTAATTTGAACAGTTTAATCATATGATAATTAAATTACTGGATGTGGATATGGTTCGCTCATTCAAAAAATGAATTTTCATGCACAAAAAAGTCATCAGTTGGAAAATGAGCAACTTGTGTATCATATAGTGAAAATTGACTGATTATTTATATTTTGAATTCTTTTTTTGCTCGAGTCTAACATGAGAAAAATCTGTCAAAGTAATATGAAACGACATAATTAAATGTTAGAGAATAAGTGATTCTCTTTTATGTCCAACCATGGAACAGTTTTAGCCAACCTACGAAGTTTACTTCTTTGTCGAACAGTTTCTGTTAAAACTTTCATATCACCTGTTCGACTCTGAGAATTATGATGATAAGCCAAATCGAAACGACGTCAATCATTTAAGAAGTGAATCTACTAAGACTTGTTATAAGACGAGTTTTAACATTTACCACATATAAATTCTGTATACCATGAATAGTTATGTTTATTTATTATGCTATATTTTGTTGTTGAAGTTATGTTGCAATAATTTTCATTGATTTTTTTATCGAAGGCGTTTATTAAACGTTGATATTAATAAACAACTAATACATTTATTGTTAGATTAATACCAATAGCTATTAAGTGATCTAATGTATGAACTTCAGTAAAATAAAAAATAAAATTTTTTTTTGTTGTCATTTGTCACTATTATATTGTTTAGAATTTGACAAACATCTCATCTATTTGAATAATTACATCTTCAACATTCCAGTCTAACTATTCTACATAATAAACAATATTAAAAACAAGTTGTTCGAAAACGATTAATATTAGTTAAGAAATTTTGATTTATTTGTTGCTCTTCACCACATTCACTTTCAATGGCTCAACTTCAACTTAGGTTGTTTGATGAATTACTAAGAAAATTTCAAATCTTGAATTATATTTCCTATTGTTGCAGCAGTTTGAAGGTATATGAAAGAGTTAGATTTCATAAAATTGACATATCTATTCTAACATACTTGAAATAAAACATACATTTAATTTAAATAGTACTAAATAATTTCTACTTGTAAATAATTTTTATGGCAATTGGACAAGTCAAGATGAATTTTTGATATTTATATAAAGAGAAAAGATTACATTTTGTTTTTTCTATTGTTATTGTTGTGTTTTAATAAAATATTTTATTATGAATAGCAATCGACTACATGCTTTTCTCGTAAAATATAAATAGATCATTTATCTCTCTTGACAACTCATTTTCTAGAAACAAAAATGTATATTGATGTACTATCAAAATAATATATGTAATGTTCAAGACTATGAAGGATCATTAAAAGAAGCTCGTATATCACTTCTTGGTTCAACATTCGATCAACTCTGGACTCAATCAGAAAAATCCTCATCCATTAAAAATATAACTTCATCATCAAATTCAACAACAAAAATACAATCATCATGATATAATCAAAATAAAAAATCAATTTAGTATTATTTTTCTTATATTTATGATTATTCCACTTCTACTATTTTCTCTACCTTTCATTATCCGTTCACAATACCATTCAAATCGTTATCTTCATCAATGTTCATCACATGCATGTATATCAACATCACATTGTATTATAGAAAATTTAAATATGAATGAAAATCCATGTGAAAATTTCTACACCTATGCCTGTGTTGGATGGATAAAAAAATCATTTTTCTACACCAAGTGAAATATCCATAAGTTATTTTAAAGAAATTTATAAGAATAATTTAATTATTCTATATAAAATTTTTCAAGATAGATCTAATACAAAATCAATAGCAATAAAAAAATTAAAAAAATATTTTCATACATGTATGAATACATCAAATAATGAAAAACTTGCAAGAAAAACTCTTCGAAATATTCTTCAATATATCGAAAAATCTATTTTATTATTTAAATATTGGTCAAAGAAAAATTTTAATTTAGTTATAAAATTCATCCTTTTTTTTTCGTATAAGTATTACAATTGATCATAAAAATAATAATTATCATTGTATTTATTTTGAACAATCAAGTTTATCATTTGATAAAATATTTCGTTATTTATTTAATAATTTTGGTAGAAAATTAATCAAATCTCTTCATTCATTTTTATCTGAATATAAAATATCAAAACATATTGATGAAATATTTAGCTCATATATTTCAAATAAAAACATATCATAATCTATTAAAATTCTATCATATAAAATCATATGAACAAATTCGACAATGGTTTTCATCATGATTTGATATTGAAAATTATTTAGAAACAATTTTTTATAAAGATAAATTATTTTTTTTTTACAATCAAACATTTTTTGTATCAACATCAGATTATTTTGAAAAATTAAAACAATTGATCGAAATAATATCTAAATATATTCTAGCCAATTATATAATATTTCAAGTTATTCAAGAATTATTATTATACATGCCAGAAAATTTTAATCAATTTAGAAGATCATTAATTACATATTTAAAAGGTGTTATAGAAGAAAAACAATTAGGAGAGATTTATGTTAAAAGAACAGATGATGCATTTGGATTTGCTACAGGTTAGACACTTAATGATTGTTTTTATTTGTTGAGTGTCATAAATGAATAAATTAATCTAACAAATGATGACGCTAGAAAGATAGGGAATTATTGAAAAAGTCTGTAATCTTTAAAATTTTCTCCTGTTTTGTTTTTTTTTCTTTTAATTAAGGTGCTCTATTTATTTCAAAAATATTCGATGAAAAAAGTCAAGAAAAAAAATAAAACATATTGTTGAAGAAATTCGTTTAACATTCATCGAAACATTACCAAATATTCAATGGATGAATTCAGAAACACGTTAACAAGCAAAAATCAAAGCACAAATAATTATTGGTAAATTATATTAATCAATATTGATTTATTCATTTTCTAATGGTATAGATAGACTTGGATATCCTAAATGGTTTGAAGATCAAAGTAATATTGAGCGATTTTTATCAAGATTTAAACCTATCATCGATTAATAATCCAATTATCAACATAATGTTAGTAAGAAGATTTCAAAAAGAACAAAATTTTAAAAAAACTTGTAAGTAATTCTTATTATGATATGGTTATTTCATTGAAAATATACATTAATTAATAAAGGGTTAACGATCTAATATTGAAGAATGGACAATGACACTTATTGATGTCAATGCATATTATATGCACCATGGAAAAATATGATTGTATTCCCAACTGGCATTTTGCAAACACTGTAGAGAATCTTATTAGATATATAGTTTTTAATTTAAAATTCTCTGTATTTAGATTTTTAGATGCTAATATTCCTATTTCAATTAATTTTGGATCAATTGCATTTATTATTGGTCATAAGTAGATTTTGTATATTCAAAGATATTTTTAGTTATGTTTGTTATTTCAGATGAACTTATCCATGCTTTCGATGCCAGGCATGTTCGTTTTATTTATCATCTTTTAGTTTTTCGTTCCCATTAAGTTTGATGAGGATTAATTTGAATTATATCTGATAGTTTTTCTCTTGTTCTGCGAATAATACGACACCATCAAGATGAATATTTATTTTGATTTGTGACTGAAATACATTACTTAGCTCATGATCTGTATTAAGACTGATTCTAAAAGTTTCTTAAAGTAAATCTTATCTAAAGAAGAGATATTGGTCTAGAAAGTGACAGAACATACTGAGTTTTGTTTTTTCGTATTCAGATGTAGTTTGGAGATGATGGCTAAAAATTAATTTTCAAAGATAAATTTTTCAAATGAATAAAAGGTATAAAGTATTCATATGAATTATTTTTATGATTAGTGGCCGTTAGTTTGATGATTATGGAAATCTAAATAATTGGTGGCAACAAGGAACAGCTCGAAGTTTTGATGAACGTGCTCAATGTTTTATTGATCAATATACTCAATATCGTATTGGTAATAAACATATCAATGGATTATTAACACTCGATGAAAATGTTAGTTATTGAAAAAAAGTCTTTTCTCAAATGTTGATTAATTCGCTTCTTTTTCAGATTGCTTATAATGGCGATCTACGGATTGCATATGCAGCTTATAAACGTTATTTAAACCGTCATCATTTACTATCGAATACATCTTTAAAAAAATCGCCAACAGCAAATTTTACTTGGTCTTAATTTAACTGATGAACAATTATTTTTTATTGGTTTTGCACAAACATGGTATACGAAAACAACACTCGAAATGGCCAATGCAGCTTTAGTTACTGATACACATGCTCATCCAATGAAGGTGTGGGTGTAGACTGAAAGAATACTCACATGCACAGCCACATGTACCCCACCCACACATCCCATTTTGAACTCTCTCACTGAGGAGCCTGCTCTAAGTCAGATGTTTGTGTTTCGAGTACAGCATGACAAACCTCATCAAATGGTTACAACTTAGTTCTCAATAGCATGCTATTGGAAATATGGTTTTCATAGTCTCATAAGGTACATTGGCATGTATTCGGAGTATTATAAGTTCTATTGGAAGAATCTGTTAATTGAAGCAGCCATCTAGAACACTTCTAGAGAAAGAAGCATGGTATGAAGATACAGTTTTCTTTATCTAATAGAGCATATCGCGTTGTATTGGTAACAATTGAACGTAATACTGAAACGAGTTTTCAGGTGAATCAGCACTAAAAAAGCTCGAATCTGAGCAGAACATATTCTAAGTGATATTTTATGTCTATTAGAATGAGCACTGTCGAAATATCTTATACTCAAATTTTTAGTTCACGCGAATGTTCTATAAAGAATTTATTATATGGTGATTTTTTACAATCACAACACTACTAGCATAACTATGATAATGTATAGTTCTTCTTTCTTCTCAAATTCCACTAGTAGTAATTCTGCAACATCACCTATAGCTATCAGATAAACTGAATTGATATATTTTTCTGTCTAAACATAATTAATCAATTTGATACTCCACTGTGATCTTGTGTCTTCATTTTCTTTTAAATTCAAACGATACTTCTAAAACTTTTAATGACTAAATCTGTATTTCATTAGCAATGGATTGATTTATTTATTTAAAAGTTCTGGAACACAATTGGCGTAATCGGCAAGCGGATTTTTAAAAATGTCTAATAAAAAAGGAATATTTTATACAATTTTTGGCATTTTTCACATCTCTAATAAAACAAATAAGAAAACTGATTGATAGATTTCTAATACTATTAAATTTTAAATTTTTACCATAGAAAGACAATGAAAGAATCGAAGATGAACAACAAACATAACGGACATATATTTGTAGAGTATGCCTGTATTTCCTACCTGTTCAATGCCATGAAGGAGTGAATAAATAAACGTGATCACAGCCAGCTCGTTTTCCGCAAATAAAAAATGTATGTAGAGTTAAGAATTGCTCATCTACCGTTGTGATCGAATCTATTGTTTGACGAGCATATAATCAACGGTGAACTTGTTGTTTTTATTCTTACATATTTATTCAACAACATGAGAAATATCATTAAAAGATGAGACTCTCTATTCTCTTAATTACTAGCTTCATTACTTCTGATAGGATTCTTTCCATCACTGTATGTATCATCCGAAATACTTCATTGTCGATTTCCTATTCTAATCTAACAATCAATCGATCCACTTGTAATGATTGTCTTTGTGAAATGTTTACTTCGTCATTAAATATATCGATCCTCTCTCTAAATTGTTTTACTAATACAAACTATGGTGTCATTTGTCAACTATTTACTAATCTAACATATTTGTATTTAACTTCATATTCATTGGAAACAAATTTGAACAGTACATTTTTCTTTCGACAACTGCCATCAATTATTCAAACATAAATTCCATCAGTAACTATCATAGGTAAGATGTTATTAATAGTTTTGATCACACTTATCTATTTGAGATTAGAATAGATGAAAGAATGAAAACTAGATTGACATATCCTCCATACAATTGGTAGCAAATATCGTCAAAATATGACATACAGATTTGTATCTTATCAAGAAAATCCTAATGGTCAATTGTTCATGATTGTTCTAATACTCATTTTACCAATAAATTTCACTTTTAAAATGTCTATTAAAATTAGTTTCAATCAAATTTTGAATTCAATTTTAATAATATAATTTATTGCAATGAGTTTCTTCTTCCATAAGTCATAAAGTAGAACAGATAATAGAGAAAGATCTTTGTAAAAATATGTGTAGTGAGAATTCAACAAAAGAAAATGTAAAAAGTACTCAACAAATCTAGGTCTTGGACAAATTTTATGTGTATACAATATCATTTATAATTCTATTACGAATTTGAATGAACTTTCAAATATCCGAAATTAAGTTTTTCTAAGAGTATTAGGAGACTTTTACTCACTAAATATTTTATTGGAAAATAGTACTTGCAATCACAGGTATTCTGAAAAAAAAAATAAGGATAACATGCAGACGGAAGACTATTAACTATATGTACAGCTATTGTTGTATTACTGATAAGAATAAATTTAAAATTTAATTATGAAGATGTACTTTTTTGTTCAAAAACATTCTTTACTTAGATTTTTCATGAGACAAGTCAACATATTTTGCAAAAACTTAGTTTATTCGGAAAACATCAGATGTCAGCATGCCTAATGATAAAAAGCAATCAATGACTTATGAAAAGTATTAAATTTCTTTCTATTCAAGTAAAAAAAGAAGAAAAAAGGCGTTATATTTTCCTTCTATTGATAAACTCAAGGTAGAGAGATTCTAGAATTCTATAAAGCAGAATAAATTTATAATGAAGAAAAAAAAACAGAAAAGCATTGCTTCGAATGTTATCTTCGATTTTGAGTCCTATATTGTCCTAGTTATTTAAAGTTTCGTGTCATAGACTACTTTTCGTATTTATTAAAGGTTTATAATTATAAGCAAAGATAACATATCAAGGTATTTGTATAGCTAGAGGCATAATTATAATTGAGTTCATCAATATTGTGCCTATTTCTATTCTCGTTTGCGCTGATGTTCATTATTATTATCAATGTAGGAACTGCAGAAGTTGTTAATTTTGTTGTAACAACATTGGAATTTTGTTTTACTGAAGTTTTCATCCAATAATTGATAAGAATCTTGCTAAACTCGAAGATCCTAATGAGAAAACAGTAGATTTTATATATTCTCTGTTTATAACCGAATTAACCTATGTGTAAAAAGTTTTTGCACAAAATACATCTTCAATCTTCTTTCGGTTATTGATTGCAAGCGACAATCAAAAATAGAGTGTTAGAATGAAAATTTTTATGCTCTTTCTAAATATACTGTTTTTAGAATTTTTTTCGACTTAAACTTGATTCGTTTCCAAAATGACCAAAAATTAGATTTGTACAGATTTTTCTACATTAATTAAAAGTGCCTCAATTTCGATTATAAAAAAACGTTTCTATGCACTAGTTTGTAGAACAAACTTTGCTCTATTGAAAATTATTATAACCTATTGTATGGTAAATATCAAAATTCTTAAAAGCCGATGTTTTTTAAAAAAATGCTATCTTATTTACGGAATACCAATTAGAAAATTGTTTTAAGATTTTTACTGATTTGAAACTCTTGGTTTTGTATAACATGAGATTGTCTACAAAACTAGAAAAGAAAAACTATTTCAAAATGCTTGCTTTGAGCTATTGTACATGATGAAAAAAAAAAACTTTATTTTCTATAGCATCAACGACATTTTTTATTGATTCATTTATTTGTCTAGATCTAAATTATTGTAAGTCAAAATCGAGTTCGAATGATATATTTTGAAGAAGTACCGAAAGAGCTTGGAAACTGGTGTTTTGTACAGACGTAGTCTTTGTTCCTTTTCGAAAATTTTTTTCTCATCGACTCAAGTTTAAGTCGAAAACAAAAATTCTAAACATATATTTAAAAAGAGTATAAAATTCTCATTCTAATTGAATACTTTTGATTGTCTCTTGCAGTCAATAAGTGAAAGACAATTGACAATATATTTCGTGCAAAGACTTTTTACACGTAGATTATTTATATCTAACAAATATTTTGATAAGGATTATAAAAGGTAATAGTAGGTAGTTGGTATAAAATTTTTCATGTTATTTCCTAAAAATCGAGCGTAAAAATGTTTTCTTTTTCATGACTGAAATATATATCTGCAAGAGACAACATAGCAATTGTTATATGAAAAGCATAATAAACATATAAATAATAAATAACGTTGTTGTCTGTCAAAAAGCTAATTAACACGATGAGTGAAAATATATTTTGTAGCCTAACAGAATTTTCGATATCAATAGAATACATTAGTCATTTTAACTAACCTCGATTAAGGCTCTGTGCACATGCTAATACATTAATAAAAACTAGCTCATCACTGATCATAAATTTTATTGTCCAAATATTTCTAAAACTTCTTTCTAAATAATGATTATTTTTGAATAAGTATTCGTCTTTTCTAAATGATATTATCAACAAAGAGAAGAATCAAGGAAGGCTGGTAACGAAAAATCATTACATATGAAAAATATTAGGAAGAGATCAATACGTATATATAATATAGCGACACTATTTTCAAACAGTTCGTAACAGATATTAAAGATATAACTGAATTTTAAAAAGTGTGTTAATTTTTGTGAAAATATCCTATCCTGTTTCTACAAAAGCTATAACATAGTGTCCTAACATGATATCGCTTCAATCTAATTTCAAAATAATAAATTACCAAGAAATAACTGTATATTTTAAGTAGAAACCACTACTAGTAGTACTATAACGACTAACACAACGACACCAAGTAAGTGAAACATGCTATATAATATTAATTTGTAACTAATAGTTGGTGTTTTGATTTGATACACAAGACAAAGTACTATGAAAGAGCATAGTCAAAATAGATTGTGATAGATATTTCAAAAATATAGTTAAAGTCAATTTCGAATTTTTCCTCTTTAATTTTTGAGATTTTCAAACAATGTTTTATCTAAGTTTATAAGAGTGGCCTGCATCAGCTAATCTTTGCCTCAAACTCACTGAAACGAGACCTAGCGAATAAAGAACGCCTACTAACTACTAATGAAAACTTCTTTTCCTCAGTATCAGTTGTCATGAGCAGAACAATTCATAATTTCATTATACTTTTTTTTTATAGCTCGGATTCTTTCAACTCTTGTCACGGTAACTGCCTCTAATTTCGCAAGTGGAGCTGGCTCGGCTGCTAATCAAGGTGATTCTCTTGTTGACCGTAGTGGAGGCGGAGGTTTCAACTCTGGTGGCAATGTTCCTCAATATGTACAACTAGAGCTTCCAGGTACATACAATGTTACCACTGTGTGCCTGCTCATAAATCAAACGCCCAGCAGTACGACGCATCACGAACTTTATGTTGGTGTTAATGCAAGCTCTTTACGCATAGTCACTAATTTAACCAGTGTTACAAGCAGTAATCAATAGATTAATCTTACATACAATCCACATTTAACTGGAATAAGCATTCTACGTCTTCGTACTACAGTTAGTCCATCATGGGTAGCCTGGACGAGGTTTCTTGTTTACGGCATTTGACATTAGATACACAAAGTATTTTTAAATTGGAATACTTGATTGAATAAACACAATTGACCAAATATGACACTCTAACTCCATTTAATTCTTAAAAAAAGTAATAGAATTACTACTTTTACACATAGATCAAATCGTTGCAATCACATTACAGATCTATCAAAAACAAAATATATGCTTTATAACGATGAACTGATGATGTTAATATAACTATGCTTAAAGATATGAGAGAAAAAAATTCTTTACTCTATGTTGGTATATTTCGATAAATTTATTTTCTACTGTAGAAATATTTAGTAAATATGCAAACAATTGTTTCTATGACATATGTTTTCTGAATGAGAAATGTAGAGCAAACGTACCAATTTGGCACACACTTCCACTAAAAACTATGACACTAAATGACATTATTGCAGACGTGAGAGTTATAGTAGTAGGTAGTGTAAATTGTGTGATTGTAAGATGGTGATTCTGAAAACATGAATAATCGAAAATTAGATGTCGAAATCACTTCTTCAAATCACGTTCAACTGTATAATCTTCTTACTTGATTTATATTTTCTTTAAATTTTTGAGATACAGGCTTTGATGACGAGTATGAATTTGGATTAAAGTCTAGCACTCCTATTCCACATCTACAACTTTGATAAGTTTATCTAACGAGGAGTCATAATTCTTTCTAAGATTTTTACAAGTTCCAGTAATGGAAACAAAAGAGAGCAATGCTAGTAAACTGTTGACTTGCACAGACTCATTAAATCTGCATAAATACTTTAGTGTTTCTATTTGATTCATATTCTTTGAGGAATCTACGAATAATTTTCCTTAAATCGATGCAGAAACAAAATACTGCGATAGCAGTTCAATAATATTTTTCAATATTTCTTTTTTCCTTTGCTAAAAGTTTTTTTTCCATTCAACACAGTATCTTGAAATGTCAAAAATATGAAACTTAATATATTTATTTTTCGACTTACAAAAGTATCGCTTTCTCTATATCCTGGTAATTGATTAGAGGAAATCTTTTCTTCTGATAGCTATACAAGGATTTCTGTTAAAAACAAAGGTAAAACTTGGAATCCGACATTAGATCTGTTTTATAGTTTTGATTATCGGTTATTCAATGATAATATTTGAAAAAGAAAAAAGTAGTTTTCGATGCTGTCTCGACACACTAAACAATAGCTTTTTTATCTGTTTAATAAACCAAACAGAGTACTGATTTTAGTGAGCTTATTGCTATTAACATTGAACGAATTTAATTTCGTTTGATAGGACATTAGATGCGAATGATTCAACAATCAAAGCGTCATGCACAAATGCTTTCGATCTTAAGCATCTTTGATAGGGTGTGGATGTAGTTTTAAAGTATTAATTCACACCTATATCCTAATTTTACAATGCAAACAATGAAACAAAACTAAAAAATGTCTTTCTAGACAAGCGTATCGGAATCTAGTTAAATTTATCAAGTAGTGGTTTATTTGTATTTTCAATACATTGTACGAAACTTTCAATTTTGAATGATGAATACGATCACATTTTCTGGTTTTCGTTTGAATATTTGAATTCATTTTTTATTTTTCAATTATTTTTGATCAGTTATTGAAAGTGGTGTTGATGACCGATTTGAATTTTTTATTTGATTTTCAATTACTTAAACTTGATAATTTGTAAGATATTCAAATAAACATATATGAATTTTAATGTCTTTTTATACACTTGTTTAGTGACCTCACTTATTTGATATATGGGTGACGTATAACGATCGGGTTTGAATATTCTTCTATATTGTATTCTCAAAGATATAAGCGCTTCTTTTGCATTTGTTATAGATATAGAACTATACATGTCAAGTATTTGATCGTATCGATTGAATAATATCACTAAATATTAATAAACGTGATTTATTCGTAGTAAATAATAAATCTCTTGCACTGTTCAACACTAAATACAATAATAAGTATAAAAATAAAGTTTATGTTTAAATTTTATTTACTTGGTGAAATTAGTCAATATGTATCTAAAGAAAATTAGTAAATATATTTTTGATCGCCGAATCATAAACTCATCAAGTATCGTCAATCTTAAATTTTCGATGATATTTGAATTAGTTCGAGCCCGTTTCTCAACAAAACAAGCGTTTTTTAATGACAATATTAATTTTTAACATTCATTTAGTTTTATATAAGATTTTGTTTTTCTTAGTTATATTTCATGAATGATATTTAGTAACATTACCTTTTATATATCTAAATTTCGAGCAAAAAACATTCACTTTTTATATTTTGAAGACACTTTTTCATGCGTTTAAATGCGTGGTTTTTGATAATAGTTGTCTGTCTTGGTACTTGGATGACTTTTAAATTCGATTCCGAGATTTTATTAGATTATAGGCATTCGTCTAATTTTATACTCTTGATCAAATGATCCCCAAGACTGAAATTTTCTTTGACTTACTTTTATCAAAAAATATTTTCTTGAAGAAATCATAAAGCGGATTACGTATTAAATGTTCATTAGTACTATGAAAATTCCATTAAATTTTCTTCTTTTAGAATGCAAACAATTGTGTTTCGTTTTCGATACGCTGTTAGGTTCCGAACTTTCTTTATTTAAAATAATATGAAGAACCTAAAACTGTTCACACGACATGACAAAATCACACTTTTTCGACAGACTCGAGAGAAGAAGGAACGAAAGAGATGATATGGAAATCAGAAGGAGGATCGATCATCTATATATATATATATATAGATGTCGGATCCTAACACCTCCCCCCACACAAAAAGTTATACGAACATCTCTAACAGCAATATCTGTTCGTATAACTGCGAAGACGGTTACATAATACGATCACAAAGAATATAAAGCCANGCTTATAACTTTTGAAGAGAAGATCATAGAGAGCTCGGAGACATCTCATTTTGTAGAGAATTGGCTGTTCTATCATTCTAGCCTGTTAAAACAAAAAATAATTCCCCCTTTCTGGGTGCTGAAAAACTAGGGTTTTGGTTTTCTGGAGACCCAGCCGTTGGGAATCTGATTATAATTTCTATTTTCTTACATTTTTATTGGAAACGAGTTCCTCTACTGGAATAAGTATTTGGAGACTTCCTAGTGGTTAAGATAGCGGAAAAAAAGTGAAAATAAAGCTTGTTGAACAATTTTGGGAGCCACTGTATATGCGAAAAGTGATACATATTACAGAAGCAATTATTTCATTTTAGAAATGAAGATGGATCTAAGGGTTTGAGGCTACAGTCAGCAGAACACTTTAACCAGGATCAGGACTAAAAATCAGTGATTTTACGGATTCTTACTCTTCAAGCCTTATGAAATCCTGAAACTCTCGTGAAGTTTCCTGTTGTCTCCTCTATTAAAACAAATTGTTTTTTTTTCTTGAATTTAGAGCCTTCCAAAATTAAATCCAGTTTATGCAAAAAATATTAAATTAATGAAATGTAAATCATCATCAGTAGAAAATAATTCAAATGAAATAACAGTTCGTTTACATGATAAAGTTGGTTTGGTTAATATTGGAAATACATGTTATTTGAGTGCTATTATGCAAGCTTTATATGCTTGTACAAAGTAATGGCGTTGTCTTATTTAATCTATCTATTTTTTTTTCTCGTTCGTATTTTTGAATCTATAGATTTCGAATGTGTGTCTTGAATAGTGATATATTATCGTCAAATTATGAATTATTAAAATCATTACAAAATTTATTTGCATTTTTGGCACTTTCACAAGTATGAAAGAAGAAAAAGAAAGAAGTTCAGTATTTGATTGTATATTTTTAGAGATCATGCTATCGACCAGAAAGATTTTGGCTTCAAGCTAAACCATCTTATTTTGAACGTAATCAACAACAAGATTGTCAAGAATTTCTCAGACATTTACTTGATACACTTCATGAAGAAGCTAAAAGAACAATACAAAATGAGTATGGAATGTTATTTTTATCCAGTGAAGAATTTTAAACAAGCTCAAATTATTTTTTTTTAGAAATTCTTTTCTATTATCGTATGTAAGGTGTATAACTCTAGTTCGCTGTATCTCATTCGAATGTTTAACAGAGAAATACTAATGTTTTAGTGAGGAAAATTCATCTGCATCTATTATTAAAACTGTTATTAGAAAGTTGATTAAATGATTGATCAATCATTTTACTTAACATAAAAATTGACAAAATCTAATAAAATAACATCAAAATTAATAGAAGCAGTTTTAAACACTGTTGGTACTCATATATAAATTGATTATTGACTTTACTGAATACAATTTTGGAATCCACAAATTATCTTCAAATGTTAAAAAATTCGAGAAGAAAAAAAATTAGCGACAACTCTACAGTGTTTCGCAGTTTTCTCTTTTCACATATAGTATGCACTGTTTGGGATGGGAATTTTGTTTTTATTTCAAAAAATAGTGTTCTGTTTATTTTTGTTAGCTCGTACAAATGACGCTCTATTCATAAAAAAACTACATGCGGTCTATAGGAAACCTTCGATATTTTAGCTTTTTTATATCCACTCCAGATATTGTTTCATGTCTGCAAAAGAGATTTCAGCTCGATCGAAAATAGCATCTCGAAGAAACTGTGGTGAAAATTGATACCATTATGATGTCAGTATTTCATTGAAGACAGCATCCGAAAACTTTGAGTCTAGCTCAACTTTTGCTCTGGTCCCCGAGATCTATCTGCGTATAAAATTTTAAATTTTTCCGGCGACTCACTTTCCAGAAACCTTGGACAGGAGGGTGGAGAACCTTTAAAGCTTGTACAAAAAAAAGTGTCAATGCTAGAGTCATACTACAAAAACTCATTGGACGGATCTAACGAGCGCTATTCTAAAAGTAAAAGCCATTTATAACTTGTTTTTTTTATGAAATTATCTGAGAAGTATGTACGTATCAAGTGTAGAATGAAAAATTTCATTAAGAGAAAGGTATCGATTTGAAAGGCTGTACTTATGAAACTATATTTAATTTAAATACCGATAATTGGCACTATATCAGAAGAAACTTAAAACTTTACAGCAATAAATTTTAAACTTCATTTCATTTGAATAATAATTTCATAATTAATCATTGCTATTTAATTTTTCTTTAGATCCAATGTTGATTTTGTTAAACAGCATCTCATGGGTACTTGTGTTCATCTTAGTAAATGTTTAACTTGTTTATCAATAACAAAATCTCAAGATTTATTCTATGATTTATCTATTGGTTTTAATGATCAATCTTCAATTACTAATGAACAACAAAAATGTTTTAATTTACAATCTCTTATTGATCATGCATTTGCATGGGAATCATTAAATAATGAAAATCAACTTGCATGTGATACATGTCAAACAAAACAAGATGGTTCACGTCGAATGTTTTTAACATCACATCCAAATTATCTTATTTTGTTATTAAAACGTTTTGTACATAATCGTCTTACAGGTAAATATGAAAAATGTCTTGATCGTACAACATTACCAGAATTAATAAAATTATTAACTGTTAATGAAACATATGTATCATATCAATTAAAAGCTATTGTTGTTCATCATGGTTTATCAATGAATAGTGGACATTATTATGCATTTGTTAATTTTAATAATGATGATTTAATTGATAAAACAAATACAAATTATATTGGATGGTGGCTTTTTAATGATACACATGTTGAACATTTAACATTTGAAAGTGTTTGTGCACATTTTCAACGTTTTCAATCAGCTACACCATATGTTTTAATATTTGAAAAAGAAATTCAAGGTTAATTTTATTTATTTTTTAATAATAAAAATTCATCTTTTCTTCTTTTTATTTTTTGTTTCATATTATTATTTTAGAAAAAGAAACAAATGTAATACAATTACCGATTTTACCATATTTACAAACATTAGTTGATCGTGATAATCAACTTTATACACAAGTAAATTTGACTTGATTTTTTTTTTTTGTTTTCGTTTGTTTTGAATATATATATATAAATGAATTTTGTTTTCTAGGAACAAAAGCGTCGTAGTCGTTCATCGAGATCAGCTGATACATCTGATGTAACTGAACCTTATTTAAGAAATACAGGATGTAAAGATCAAAGTCCTGATCGTGGACCACCTTGTATTTTTTAATTTTGTCTTTTCTTTCTTTTTTTATTGATTTATCTATGATGATGCATCGCTGAAAAAAGTTTTCTTTTTATTATGTGTGTGAACGATTGTGTAAAATTTTAAGTTATTTTGTTCTGTTTGTTTTCTTTTTTTTAATTTACAATGTATAGATAAACAGGATGAAATTATTCAAGACAAACAACAAAACTATGCAGATGGAAAGTTGATAGAAATGATTGATGATACGATTAATACTAACTAATTTGTGATCCGAGAATAGAAATATTATTAATAGAAGTCGAGATTTTATGATCTTCTTTATTTATTAGGATAAATATGTTATTTGACAAGCGATAATTTTTATCAGTATGATATGAAGTCAGTAGTCATTGGCTAGCTTGTACAAAAAATAATTTTGAGAAGACACATATTTGGTGAGAAATTATTGATTCAATAAAAAAATTTATTATGAACAGAGTCATTAATAAGGTAACAAAATTTATATAGTAGAAGAATCTGAGAAGATCGCTCTGTATACGTTTATAACAGTGTTTTTTTTTGCAACTTTTATATTCTGGAAGGAAAATTTCAAACTCCGAGAAAAATAACACGTGTTTATGGGAGTATAGACACGCCACATAGTGCATTAACGATAAAGTCTGGGAGTGCTAAACCCCATCATACACTAGTGTGTCTGGTATGGGCCAAATTTTTCTGACCCGAATCGGACTCTGGTATCGACTAATTTTCTCAATCGTTTTTTTTCACTTTCATTTCGTAGTTGGAAACAAAGGATATGCTCTTGACCTCTTTTCGCCCTTAATATCTCGCAGTTGGGATAACACAATTATGTGATAGAATTGTTTCTTGTTTGTCTTTCTTTGCTTATGTATACAACTTGTGATACTTATATCACTATTGAATAAACAGTGCATTTGCTATGCATCGTTGTCTGATGTCAATAAAGAGAAATTCGTGAAGTGAAAGAAAATATCGTACGATACATGACTTCTTCTTATAAGCTTTTCCATGCTCTCTTATAATAGAACTTTTAAATGACAAAAAAAACATTAAAAATGCCTATATTAATCTTCAAAATGTTTAAACTACAAATCTATCTCAAAATCAAAAAAAAATTTCCATAACCTGACCCGAGTCGGGCACCCTTGTGATGACACTAGTCTTTGTTGTTTATCACCCACTCTGTAGTAAACAGTTTCCAAAAACGAAAATGTATCTGTCAGTAACAATCGTTATGAAATCCAATCAAAAGTCGGTAGTTAGTTGAATTGCTGTTGTTCATCTCAATAATAATAACGATTAAACGTACTCTATCGAAAGTATTTTAACAAAGAATAAATCAGAATTCAAGAGTGTCAAAACTATCTTTGTAAGGAATAGACTGAAAGTTTTCGAGTATTTTTCGTCTGTATAAATCCATTGCAAAAGAATGAGAAGTCGTGATATGAGAACCAGTCTTTTGTACTCTGTCAGAATATATGCTTAGAACTTTTCCGTGACTGAGACTAGTGAGCTATAAGTGAATCTTACAAAGACAAAAACTATGTTTAAAGGAAAATTCTTCAAATAGAACTTGTTTGAGACATGCATCAAACTTTTACCAAATATATTGAAAGATATAGAAAATAATGCTCTGAAAAGTGGTAAAAGAATTCAGCTTAAAATGACTCTCCATCAAAATCCTGCCATTGCTGTAGCGTATCAACCAAAACTCTTCATTGTTGCATCATTTTATAGAGTAAAGATCATTGTCAAGTACTATATACTAACAGAACGTATTTGATGGTAACAGAAAACAAATTTGTCTGCAGGAAATTTTTTTGAGTCGTATAAAAATTTATACTTCAAAAGTCACCAAAGAATTCTAAACATATATTTTGCAAGCACACAAAATTCTGATTCTAACACATTACTTCTCACTTTTGTCCAATGCATTTAAATACGCGAAAAATAGTCAGAAACTTTAGAACACAGGTGTTATTTTCTTCAAGATCCTATTCTATCAATTAGATTGCGCCTTTTCATGACAGTTATCATTGAGTATTGAACAATTTGAAAGATTCATTTTAATGACGTGATGATCGTCAGCATGTATCCATATCAAATAAATAACCATATACTTGAAATTGCAGTCTATAAAATCAAAATCATTTTCTTTTCTTCGAGTTTTTAAATACGTTCGTTTTATAGAAATCTTTCTATGTAACTATATCATATCTAAAACCAAATAAAAAAGTCCACTCTTCATATCTCTATCAAATCAAGAATTACTTTATAATTACCCATAATTTCCGAATCACATCGATCTTTATCCTAATGTCTACATATACAATGCCCACCCACATTTCACTCATTTTTCTCAGTTTTAATATGAACAATTGGCTCTCGTTCAGCTCGACATGAATATTCTTCTACTTCATTTTCACGAAACGTCTAACTTCTCTAGGAATAAAAAAGGTCAACTAACACCACAGGACAGGAAATGAAAAAGAATCCTAACATTGTCCTCTATTTTACTGTTTTTTTTTCCCTATCATATTTACATCTGTTTCTCGTTTATAATCAAATAACATATAATGAAATTTAACTGAACAACATATAGTCATATGACCGTTCTAGTCTAAATATATATTCTATTTGAAAATATATGTTGGGATAATTTTTTGTCCAAAATCAATGCCATATTAACAGACCATTGCAGAGAACAACAACAAAAGATTTAACACATAGGAGTCAAATGTAAGAGCCCTTAACTATATCATCAAAATCAACTCGTAAACACACATTGCGTTTGATGAAAAATAAGCAGTAAAATTGATAATTGCCTGTCAAATCAGATTCAAAAAATCTACGCAATCAATATCATTACAATCTTTATGATTATATTCAATATAGAAGTAAAAAAAATATAAGAGAAAAAGTCTAATCATGATTTATTTATTTTTCTTAATTTCACTCAATTAAATGCCGATTCATCATTACAAATAACAAGTATATATCCGTTTTAATATACACGTGCATTCATTCCCGCAACGATTTAAAGAAAAAAATAAGATAGTTCAATCATACACAAACTGCTAAGTTCTTTTTATTTTTTCCACCATATGAAACCAACTAGTCTTAACTAAACAAACATCGTTAATACTTTGCCGACAAGAAAAACAAATTGTACTTAACAGAATTTTTCTTTGAAACACCACATGAGAATAAACTTTCTACATAAAATAATGTTATTCATTTTTCTAAATGAAATACAACAGGTTTGTTTTTTACGTTTCTTATATTTTGTTTTGTTGTATCATCTGGTTTGATAAATTTTAATCATTTTGTTCAAGTTATATAGATGAACGAATGACAATTAATCGTTACGCTCGTTTGATTAACGAAGGCTTTTCGATTATTTTTACATATTCATAAAATCAACAATTAAATATTTGTTCTCGTGAAAAAAAAAGGTTTCTTTTTCTAATACATATCATATCATGGAAAGGTGTTTTCTATACTACATGAATAATCTATCGAATTGACAATTGACACCTTAACATTTATTTGTTTTCATCCATCGTTTTTCTTTTTCAGTTAGTCATCTATCCAATCAATTGACGAGAAAAGTGAAGTGTTCATGTCCAATAGATGATTTTTATTTTCTTTCTCTCTTCTTGCCTTTGCGTTAGTGGTGTGTTCATTCAGTCAAGTCGTAATTCAATTTGTTTTCACATCAACGCATCCGCCCTTTGACTCTCAACGATATTAATCAGCCTAAGTGGCAGGTGAGTTTCTGAACATAAGAAAAAGTTCTTCGTTTAATACTTGATCAATAATTATTCGAAGTAGTAACATATCGAAGAGATCATGGGTGATAGTCACGTAGTGTCCGTTGAGAATTTAGAAGGTCCGATTTGAATTCTAATTTCATCTGAAAAACGTTCTGTGACTATAATTGCCTCCCATTCCCTTAGATCCGAGATTCACCACTGGACAGTGCTTTTCTATTTTGAAAAAAAAAACAAGAAATATTGTGTCAATGATAATAATTATTACATATTTCGTTCTTCTGCTGGTAGGGTATCACTCGGCCTAGTAGTTCATCCTTGTTTACGCCACTAACTCGAAGCTTTTTACACTCCTTTTTCCATATTCAGAACGTATATACTTTTTCATGTATCTATATCATTCGGTTTATAGTACGAGAGAGTTTTCCCTTTACCTTTATCTTCCTTAAAGTTTTCTAATGAAATTAAATAAAAAAATAACTTTTTATTCAATGTTATTCTTTTAGGATGATTTGAAAAGTTGTCTATATAAGTAGCGTTAATTTTTCAGCACCTTTTAGTCATTTTGTCGGACTCAATTAAAATGAGATGTCTGTTTCATGTTGAAGTTGTCTGTGTTTTTATTTTATTATACTTTGTTGATCTATTTTATGCGGCTTACTCACCTCTATTCTGTCGAATTGAATAGGTGTGAGCACACGAGCACTCATTCGTTTTTATGCTACGTAACTTCAAATAGTCATTTGTAACCGTAAAAAAAAGTTATTAACACTTACGATTACGTCTCCCTTGAAAGAGTGAACGTAGACGATATTACCACCTGATAATAAATTTTTATTTCTATGATGCCTCATCGATAATGACAGTAAATTTTCACTTTGATTACGTATAAGTATAGTATAATTATATCGGGTAATGCTCGATAAAATGTTTTGTTGTGTCTTTTTTTTTTATCGCTTCGTCTATTATTGAATTTGAATTATTTCAGAATGAATTCACTTGCATCAATTCTATATTCATCATCATCAGCAAAGACAAAAAAACGGAAAAATATTTCTTTACAACCATTATTAAAACCTACGAAACCAATTTATCCTCAATCATCAAAATGTACAACTAGTGGCATGTTATTTCGTTCATCAACACCTAAAATTCCTTTAACAACAGCTGGTAGGCATGCATAAATTTTCATTGAATATCTAATTGATTATGAAACATTTCTTTTGATTGTCAGTCATTCGTTAGAATATATTAACTAAAAGATGAGTCGTCATATCACAGTTTTATGTTAAATGTAAATCAATAAGATATGAAAAGACCGACAGGATATCCTATATTGAAGTGTCTCCAATCACAGTATCACTCTACTAAACAACAATCGTCGCCTTAGATTGAAAAGCTGAGAGAAGCACTTGATTCGAAAAAAAACTATTTTATGCTAATTGGATAAAAGTTCTTTTTTTTCTTTCGTACTCTAGTGTAAGAATAATGAAGAAATAGTAGTGACGTAATGGCACGAGGACAGAATTTCCTCTGCTAATGATTAGATTCCACTTGTAATAGATTGAAATTCGTTTCGAAAGGGTTACGAGAAAGTCTTCATCTTGTCTATAGACATGATCAAATGAATGATCCATCCACTTTTGGTTGCGCCACTAGAACAAACTATAATTTCGATCGGTTTGTTTTAATTTTGTTTACAAATTACCGGATGATTGTCTAAGTATTTATTTGTCGGATTGTTTTTACTTTGAAGATATGACACAATAATACGCCCTTCGTTTACTTCAAATCTATCGTTTACGTCTAGGGCATTCAAACAAAAAAAAAAAAGGACAAATGAAAACATGCGACGACTAGACGATTCAATTGAAATTCTTAAATATTCATTTATTATTTTAGTTCATCCAATATCAACAACATCATCTTCACTTCCAAAAAATTCTCCACAAAGTCCACGTTGTTCAACACCTTTATTTGCTAAACAACGACGATCAAGACCATTTATTGCATGTGAACTTTGTCGAGAACGAGCATTTCGAACATCAAATGAAAATAAAAATGAGAAAAAAAATATATCTCATCATTGTTCTGCAACATTATGTCATTATCAATATCAAACAAGTACAAAAATACATCGAAGGCGTTCAACAATCGATCAATTACTTGTTTGGATTGTTTAATATTAAAAACAAACGAATTGCTTTTTAATATGAACAGTAAACTTAATCGTTTGTTTTGTATATAAATTCTTAAATTAGATTTGTGTGTCTCATTATCTTTACTAATAAAACAAAAGAATGTTCAATTTTTGAGAAATTTATTTGTTTATAAATATTTTGAATACAATAATTTACAGCAACAGTTCAATTTCGAATGATACATTAGTGGAACTAAACATTGTCATGATGACACCGATACGCTCATTGTCATATTTCTCCCTAAATTACAATCTGTTGATATATTAGGACAAGTGATTAGTTGCTCGTCGTTGCTAATTAATGAACATATTATTGATGACGAGTTGTTGATGATATATGAGTGGAAAATTGAATAGTTTTCTTTACCAAATATATATATATATATATGACGTCTGATGAAGTAAAACATTTTTCCAATAAACTAATGATGAATTTCTCAATTTGGCCATATTCATTATATCAAAATTATCAATATAATTCTTCTATTGGAACATGTTTGAATTCATCATCAGGTTATGAAAGTGGAAACACCGATACAAGTTTAATTGAACCGTATTTATCAAGTTTGTTACCGCCTGCTAGAGTAAGACAAGATATTATGTTAAAGACTTTTATTATTTGATTATACTTTAGATTGAACAATTAAATGTAATTAATAATTATCATAATGGATTGATGAAAGATAATCACATTGATGCTGATCAAGAATCAACGGGAGATTATGATAAGAATTATCATCGTAAGAAACGTCGTGTTTTATCACGTTTACAACGAGAAGAAGCTAATCAACGTGAACGTCATCGAATGGATATTATTAATCAGGCTTATGAAGATTTACGAAATACACTTCCATTTAAAAAAGGTCGAAAACGTCAAAAAATGTCACGAATGGATACAGTTGATGGTGCTATTCAATATATTCAATCACTTCTTGAAATACTTCATGGACGAAATTATGATCGAGAATTTATCAAAGAATAATTAACTTTAATTCTTTTCTTTCTTTTTAGTTCTTGTTAAATAATAAATTTTTTTTTGAAATATAAAAATTATCGTATTCAAACTGTCCGTAGACTATTAGGTATGACTTGTGATATATAGTTTTCATTTTTCGAGTAGTGAGAAAAGGAAGATTAGTCAAATACCAGTACAAAATGTATTGAGGTGTTCATATTATCTCTATAAATTCGGAATTGTAAAATTTCTGTCATCGAATTCTGGTTGTCTGCTGATAAATACAAAATACACGTAATCAAACCCTAATATTCGCCTATTGTAGCATAAAATACTGCTATAGATGGTGATATATTTTAGACACTTCATTAGATGTACTGTTATCAACCGATGTATTTAGCATGAATGTTTTTGAATATTAATGTTGTTGAGCAAGATTATTTTTTTTGGTCATCATTGTCGTAAAATAGCCTTTATCATAAGAGGAGATTGTAACAAAAATAAGTGTGAATAACCTAATAGAACAAAAAGAAGTTTCAAGTTTCTAGTTTCGCAAAACAAATAAAAACTGTTGCGCAATGAAGAAAAAACACACTTCTGTATTTCTGAAGTACGAAGAAGTATAGAAATGCTTATAGGATGATGAGACAATTTTTTGTTAGCTTACGATATTTATAAAAAAGTAAAAATATAGAAAACTATAAATAATTTTCTATTTCTTATCAATGATTGATTATTTCGAATTTTATTTTTATATTATCTGTTGTATTACCATGCATTGATATTATTATTTTTCATGAATCTATATATTTTTTCTGATCGCTATTATGAGCATGAGAAATAACGTGATGTTTTTCTCTTTAAATATATTAGTACAAAAAACTGCTAGTAAAAAACCAGGGCTGATACTTCGTCATCTACTATAAGTTCTACTTTCATTATTTTGTTTTTAAATGAAAATCTTTATCATAATGAGAAACCTTTTCTTTCATCGCTATTCTATGAAGGAGAGTGAAATTTTTGTATTTTTAAGAAAAATATAAATAAATCATTTATCTCTCTTGACAACCCATTCTATAGGAAAAAATGTATATTCATGTACGATCAAAATAATAATGTTCAAGACTATGAACAATCATTAAAACAAGCTCGTATATCACTTCTTAATTCAACATTTGATCAACTTTGGGTTCAATCAGAAAAATGTTCATTAATTGAAAATAAAACTTCATCATCAAATTCAACAACAAAAATACAATCATCATGGTATAATGATATAAAAAAACAATTTAGTATTATTTTTCTTATATTTATAATTATTACACTTCTATTATTTTCTCTTCCTTTTATTATTCGTTCACAATATCATGCAAATCGTTATCTTCATCAATGTTCATCACTTGCATGTATATCAACATCATATCGTATTATAGAAAATTTAAATATGAATAAAAATCCATGTGAAAATTTCTATTCATATGCATGTGATGGATGGATAAATAGTCATTTTTTAACACCAAGTGAAACATCCATAAGTTATTTTAAAGAAATTTATAAGAATAATTTAATTATTTTATATAAAATTCTTCAAGATAATTCTAATACAAATTCAATATCAATAAAAAAATTGAAAACATATTTTCACACATGTATGAATACATCAAATAATGAAAAACTTGCAAGAAAAACTCTAAGAAATATTCTTCAACATGTTGGAAAATCAATTTTATTATTTAAATATTGGTCAAAAAAAAATTTTAATTTAGTTACAAGTGTTATTTATACACATAGACATAAAATTAATCCATTTTTTCGTATAACTATTACAATTGATGATAAAAATAATAATTATCATTGTATTTATTTTGAACAATCAGGTTTATCATTTGATGAAAAATTTCGTTATAATGATAAAAATATTCGTTATTTATTTAATAATTTTGGTACAAAATTAATCAAATATCTTCATTCATTTTTACCTGAATATAAAATATCAAAACAAATTGATGAAATATTTCTATTTGAAAAACGTTTAGCTTATATATTTCAAATAAAAACATTTCATAATCCATTGAAATTATATCATATACGAACATATGAACAAATTCAACAATGGTTTTCATCATGGTTTGATATTGAAATTTATTTAGAAAGAATTTTTCATAAAGATAAATCATTTTTTTATAATCAAACATTTCTTATATCAACACCAGATTATTTTGAAAAATTAAAACAATTAATAGAAATAACACCTAAATATATTTTAGCTAATTATATAACATTTCAAGTTATTCAAGAATTATTACCTTATATGCCAGAAAATTTTAATCAATTTAGAAGACCTTTAATTACATATTTAAAAGGTATTATCGAAGAAAAACAATTATGGGAAATTTGTGCTAAAAGAACAGATGATGCATTTGGATTTGCTACAGGTAAAAAAATGAAAAAGAGTATTTTTTTAAGCTTATCTATAAGTAATTTATTGACTCACTTTTTTTATCATCGGATTATCATAACTGAATGAATTAAGCTGACAAGTGACGACTCTAGAAAGACAATAAGTCATCCAAAAAGCTCTACATTCTTCGAAAGTTTTTCATTCTGAATACAATATTTTCGTATGCGTTTGTCTGTGTGTGAGAGGGGCGGAGAGTGTCCAAATTTCTACCCTATGTACTTCCACAAGCCTTTTAGATCGTGTTTCAATAAACTTTTAGGTGAATAAGTTCAGTCATCATATGCTTCAGAAATCTTTTGCTCAACTTTAATCAAGCATGGTCCATTGCAGCTGGTCAAATTGTTTTTTTTTTGTTTTTTCTTAATTAAGGTGCTCTATTTATTTCAAAAGTATTTGATGAAAAAAGTCAAGAAAAAATAAAACATATTGTTGAAGAAATTCGTTTAACATTTATTGAAACATTACCAAATATTCAATGGATGGATTTAGAAACACGTCAACAAGCACAAATCAAAGCACAAATGATTATTGGTATATTACATTAATAAATATTGATTTGTATACTTTCTAATAATATAGATAGACTTGGATATCCAAAATGGCTTGAAGATGAACGAAATATTGATCGATTTTATCAAGATTTAAATCTATCATCGACGAATAATCCTATGATTAATATAATATTAGTACGAAGATTTCAAAAAGAACAGAATTTAAAAAAACTTGTAAGTAATTTTTACTATCGAAAGATTATTCATCGAATATATATATATATAATTAATGAAGGGACAACGGCCCGATATTGAAGAATGGACAATGACACCTATTGATGTCAATGCATATTATGCACCATGGAAAAATATGATTGTATTTCCAGCTGGTATTTTACAAACACCGTACAGAATCTTATTGGATATTTATTTATTTATTTTTTATTTAAAGTTTTCTTTATTTAGATTTTTCGACGCTAATATTCCTATTTCACTTAATTTTGGATCGATTGCATCTATTATTGGTCGTAAGTAGATTTTGTATTTAAAGATATTTCCAGTTATGCTTATTATTTCAGATGAACTTATTCATGCATTCGATGCCAGGCAAGTTCATTATTTTATCATTTAGTTTTTTGTTCCGATCGAGTTTGATCAGGAATAGTTTCAAACACACTTGATAGATTTTTTTTGTTTCACTCTATAAGCAATATAACGTCATAAGTATGAATACTTATGCCTTTTTGTTGTTGAAGTACATTGCTTAGTTCGTCATTTGCATCTAGATCAACTCTCATAGCATCTTAAAGTAAATCCTGTCTGACCAACAGATGCTCGTCGAGGAAGTGACGGAGTTTTTTTTGCACCCAATTGAGATTCAAAGATGATGGCTTGAAGTTGTTTTCCTATGTTAGACTTTTATTCATTAAAAAATAAATTATTCATACGAATTGTTCTTATGGTCAGTGGTCGTTATTTTGACGGTTATGGAAATCTAAATAATTGGTGGCAAAAAGGATCAGCTCGAAGTTTTGATGAACGTGCTCAATGTTTTATTGATCAATATACTCAATATCGTATTGGTAATAAACATATCAATGGATTATTAACACTCGATGAAAATGTTAGTAATAAAATAAAGTTTTTCTCAAATGTAGATCTATTTGTTTTTTAGATTGCTGATAATGGTGGCTTACGAATTGCATATGCAGCTTATAAACGTTACTTAAAACGTCATCATTTACTATCGATCACATATTTAAAACATCATCAACAACAACTATTACCTGGTGTTAATTTAACTGATGAACAATTATTTTTTATTGGTTTTGCACAAACATGGTGTACAAAAACAACACCTGAAATGGCCAATGCAGCTTTAGTTACCGATACACATGCTCATCCAAAATATCGTGTTATTGGTTCTTTATCGAATATGCCAGAATTCTCGAAAGCTTTCAAATGTCCAAAAGGATCACCAATGAATCCTGAAAAACGATGTCAAATATGGTTAGATGTTAAGAGATGATATCAAGTTTACAACAGTCACGAATTCGTCTTTACTCAAATGAACAACAACGACATTTGACTATAGTTATGTTGTTATATAGAAACATATCAAATGCGCAAATCTTTCAATAAACTATATATTTTCAAACACCGACGACGAATAATCTTCTTTAAACTTGACATTTTCTATTATTAAAAGTTTATAATTTAGTACAATAAACGAGGCAGTTGATTCTCCTTCAGATCATGTTCATTTTGTATAGTCATGTGCATATCTATTGGTTAGTACAACATCATAAGTAGTGGATTCACAAGGCTTGAGTAAACTCAAACATTGGCTTCTCATTCTATCAAATTAAAAGATTTCTGCAATGTATCGAAATTCTTCTACCAACGTTAAAATTTGCTACAGATTTCAACGGCAAAAGTAGTAGCATTTTCGTAATTGAAGCAAACTTAAAAAACATTCTTCAGGCAATGTTGAATTTCGTATGATTAAATCTTAGATTCTACATTGCCCAGCGTTTGAAATGTATCTAAACAGACGAAAAACAAGAAAAAAAATCTAAAAATATCTTGACCATTTTGAAAATTTAAAATAAAATAAATTGAATAAGTGGCGATAAATTCTTTTCTTTTCGACGTTTCGAACCTTTAAATGTTCATTTTCAAGACCTCAACAAGTACATTTTAAATTTTCAAAATAAATTACGCTCTTCATTCATTTTATAGGTATTTATCTTGACCATGCTCGAATGCCATTCGAAGACATTCAAAAAAATGCAATACGAAAACAATAACTCGTCACAGAACCTAAATTCTTTAACGCTATATGTGGTACAGACTTTTCATCATTTTCATACCTACTTTTTTGTACATGTTTCTAATTCATATTCAGAAACGACGATTAGCATCCTAAGATGATCACTTTTTCCGCGTGTTTACGCGCTTTTGCTTTTTTTCTACTTCTACACCTTGTCGAATTTACTTTCTTCTATGATTTGTTTTTCTTTAGAACTTAAGCTATTCATATCATATCAATGAACGATGTACAGATAAACTGACTCAATCGCTTTACCCATTGACTCGCATACAAACACATATGCCCAGGCAGACAAGAATTACTGAAAATATGTTTAAATGTTCTAATCAAAATTCCCATTTCAGAGTTTTCGCCTCCATTCCGATGAACCTAAAATCCGACTATTTTCATCATAAAAAGTGCGTGAAGACGTTTGAAAAGGCAATTTTTGAATCGTCAAAATGCCCAAACATGTGTTTTTTATTCAAAAGCCGTCTTTCTAGGCTTCTTCATGGACGTTTTATGATGAAAGTAGCTGGTTTTCATGTTGACTGAATGAACGAGAAAACGCTAGTAAGGTGCATCAAGGACAAACGTAAGCAAAAAAAAGAGTTTTTTTGTTTTTCACATCATTTGATAGAGCTCATCGAGCTGATTCCGAATACGTATATTTTATTGTTTTTTGATCAAGTTTTGGGTCTGAAATCTTGAAAAATACTATACAAAATTGAAAAGGGAAAAAATCATTATTTTGGAAGAAAACATGAAATTTTGCCCCTTTCCACTAAATATAGGCTTTCAAAACTGCTTTATTCGGATTCACCATCTCAAACTAAGTATTAAAATGTAGCCTCAAACGAATTTCAACATAGCCAGAGTTTTCCATGAGATCAATTAGGATGAAAAAGTGACTCATAGACATTCATCTGTTGTAAACCTATCTAGTCTTTTGTTTGAAAAAATTTTCAAAATATTTATACACCAATCGAATCGTCATTCGACAAGGAAAAAAGTACGTATGGATTTTAAGAAATTTTGTTCTCCGGCTAAGACATGGAGTATTTACTAAATCATTAACGATCAAGCTAAATTCGACCGCTGAATTGCCATTTTTTGCACCAAAACTCAATCAGAATACAAAATAAATACCATATTCAGAATCAGCATAAAAATCTGAGTTCAATATGATGAGTTTCGAATCATTCGGACGA